GGTTGTACCCTTTTCAGAAGCGCATCCATCAAAGGAATTAGAGCCAAGAAAGGATGAGTGGTTGGACGAATCGTTTCTGGACGCAAAGTTCAGGTTTAAGTTCTTGGATTGCAACCTTTCGTTAAACTAGTTACAAAAGGTCCAATCAAAGATATTGTGGTTGCTGGCAATATGCAATGAAAAGAATGTATTTTGACATATGACAGATGGTTTATTATAAACAGAATATGAATTCCATATTTATAAATGTTTATCACTAGAACAGTTTTTATTCATTCGTTCATATTCATTTGTCTATCATCTACATAAATCATATAAGACCATTCATTACCACCTTATGGATCATTTTTATTATTCAAATGGATGGATACTACTTTTTTGTTACATTTATCAAAGTAATTTAATGTTAATGATTAGTATATTTCTAATAAAAGAAAATGATTTATTAACAGTTGAAGTTATGAATTGATCTAAGCTAGACCAACAACTGAACAACATCTAGAATTCAAGACGACTGTCCACAATCCAACATCAAAGTCAGAAATTTCAATACAAATGTTAAAATAATTCTACTGTATGGAGTGGAAACTTGAAGAACTATGAAAGTCATCATCTAGAATATACAAGTGTTTATTAACAGTTGACTATACAAAATACTTCAGATACATTGGTCAGACACTATCAGCAACAACCTATTGTGGGAGAAAGCAAACCAAATTTCAGCGGAGCAAGAAATCAAGAAGAAGTTCTGAATGTGGATGGGGCACACATTGAGGGAAGCAACCAACTACGTCACAAGGCAAGCCCCACATGGAATCCTCAATTCTAAACGAAAAGAAGAAGACCAAAGAACAACTTGCGCTGATAAATGGAGAAGAATGAATATCAATTGTATAGAACTCGAAAGGAAGATCGAGGACATAGTGGGCTGGAGAATGTTGGTCGGTAGCCCATGCTCCATTGGAAGTAACAGGCGTATATAAGTAGGTGAGACCACCATTAAAGACCTGAAAGCACTAAACGCCTAATTCGTCCTAGGATGGAACTCCTCAGTATTGTTTATCCACGAACCCACCTTTGGGACTCGAACCAAGAATCTGCAGTCTAGCTTATATCGAATCTTTTATTCAATTGTTAAAAACACTAAAATCTTTACAAATCTCCTTACTGAAAAAAGATTTAGTTACTTACGGTTAATTAATATAAAGACAGTGGAGTAGCACGTTCTTAACACCTATAGATTAGGTATAATTTGTCGTTCCCCAAGCAATAGTTACCATTTTAAAATGCTGGCTAGGCATATTAATTAAGAAAAGACATTTCAAACTTAATACTGAAATAATACAATCAATGGGTTGGTCACCATGCCAATCAAATAGAAGGAAATGAATTGATTTTATTATACATAAATCATTATTTTAGTTATTCATAAGGCATTCACTGGCTGACCACTGTGGAAAACCAGGAAGCGTTAGATTACCGTTTCGTCCTATTATGGGACTCCTCAGTGGCGCATATCTACGACGCGCCCCAGGGGATTTGAAACCAGAACTTATCATTCTCGCGTGAGAACACTTAGCCTCTTATCTTTACATTCTAATACTGATCACTGAGAAACGTTTAGTTTACTGATATTCAGTGGATTAATTTTTATGTGTCCTTTTAAACACTAAACTGTCTAATAATATCATGTTGATAAGAATTTTACTTCTTGTGACAATCTTCATCATTCTATTATGAATTAATCAACAATTTTTGATGGAGTTTTGTTCTCTGAGCTGGATAGTTTGTTCATGGAGCTTTCATCGTTCTTCTGAACGACATGATCTGCACAAACCTCAGGTAGAAGTCAACTTAAACGCATATTCAACAATTATGTTTCAGTGACGTGATCTGACATCTTCTTAGAGTTTATCAAGTTTGAAATGATACAACAATCATTCATGAGAAAATATATTCATATCATTTTACTAGTTATTCAAGTTAAAAAATTAGTGAAAGATAAAGCGGATCATATGGTGGTTAAGTTGAATGATTCACTAGTGAAATTTTCATTATCTGTCGATCTGGACGATAAATATTGATTGACTACTAGTTAGATATTAGCAGTCCAGTCAATCAACATTTGGATAATGTTCATTCATTTTTTTAATGTATATTACCAACTACCATGATATTTCTGATTGTACATTCTTGTAATTTGTATAGTGTAAGGTCGTAAGCTTTACATAAACTCAGTTGAATAGGTTATGTGATTAATAGACATAATGATGTATTAAAACAAACAAAACCAGATAACTTGTTGAAATATCTAGATGGAAGGGACAGAAAACAGGTAGCCCATATAGTCAATTGGATGATAATTTGTTAGTTTCATATAACACCCAGATGATATAGTCCTGTTTGGTGAAGACGGTGACAAAATGCAGAGTCTTTTGATAGCATTGAGGAACAATGCCAGCATGTTTGAGATGCGTTTCTCCTACTCTAAATGCAAGTTGTTGCTTCAGGACTGGCTTGCGTCAACATCTGAACTAAGGATAACGAGTGAAGTAGTCGAACGCATCGACAAATTCACTTATCTCGGAAGTCTGAACAGCCATAATGGGTTAGTGTATGACGAAATCTCACCACGGATTCGAAGAGCTCGTTTGACTTTTGCCAACTTACGTCACCACCCATGGCGATGGTGAGATACTCGTTTAATAATTAAGAGACGTGTATACTGTGTAGCAGTTCGTTCTGTTCTACTTGGTGGCTGCGAAACGTGCCCATTATGAGTAGAAGATATTCGTAAGCTACTACTATATGAACAAAGATGACTTAAATATTGGTCGCATCTGCTGGGATCACCGGGTAAGTAATAGTAAGGTTAGACGTAGGGTATTAGGGAATGATGGTGGTAAATTAGTTGATGAGATTGTGAATGTTCATCGACTGAGATGGTTTGTTGACGTGTTATGTATGCCTGAACACCGATTATCATGACGCACAATGCTGAATAGTGTTGGAGACGGTTGGAAGAATGTTAGGCGTGGCCACTAACTTCTAGTTTGAGAAATATTGGTAGATGCAGGCTACTTGGTTGAGGTGCACGTGACTATCGTAACCAATGGTTGTAGACTTTGTGTGACATTGTTCAGAATTGATCACAATGTCTAAGTGTATACAATCTCTGTCTTCCCTTAAACTATGAGATTAAAATAACTTCATGTTTTTCGCTCCACGAACTAATTCTTTTTTACTGTACTATATACTTATATACAATCTTTCTTTTATATATTACCACCACTGAAGTGACTGCTTCTATGAATTTGGTGTTCATCTCGTTGTGGTAATGAGGTGTGGCAACTTGGACCGATGAATATATGTGCCTGGTCTTACGTTGTAACTGACTAACTATAATCTTAATTCTAAATTGAAAATTTCATTTGTCTCATAAAATAAAATAAGTTTTTGTCTCTTATTCAACGGTAATCTGTTGTTAATGGTCTAACACTTAATCCTGCACAATTGATTGATCACTGGGTGGTGATCAATGTCATGCTTGTCTAGTCCTTATTAGTGCGGATCGAATGCTATCGATCATGTTGCAATGTGGCCACCAGTCTAGGTGACTCGACACTACGGGAACTATGTATTGTATTCTGTTGACTACCTCCAACCACCATCTAAAACTTAATCCTCCTTAATGTCAAAACGTTCAATTTAGCTTAAAATATAAACAATACATAAACATCCTGTTGGAATTCCATGAAGTTTTGAACTATTCGAGATTCTGTAATAAAAACTGTGTCAAAGGTCACTAATCATGGTATTGCATTTTTCTCTGATCTCTCTATTGGTCTTCCCACGTTTTATTGTTATCGAAGAATGTTCCCCGTCTGACTCACTACATAAAGAGATTGTATGCTTTCGGTATTACTGGTTATTTACTCTTACAATTTATCAATTCTTGAATATTATCTATTATTCTTTCCCGGGTCTTTGAGGAAAGACTTTACTGTATTGCAAAGGGTGGTAAAGGCATTTAACAAACTGTTTGGTGAATCATTTGAGATCATTATTAATATGGTTGTGGTTAGATATGTAAACTCTTACAAAATCCTGGTAAGTGATATCTTATCAGATACTAACCACCCATTCATTCATATATCTATCTAATTGTACATCTTCTGGTAGAACGAGTCGTCAATACATTAAAATCTATACGTTGCAGCAAAAGTATAAAAGTTCTATAATACCTTATCTAACAAATATACACTGTGATGAACACATTGTTATAGCTGATGTAGTCAACAACTCGTATTCTATTTAAAAAATTTGTATAGATTTCGAATCTTCATAAAAGACATTACATTTAATTCCATGGAGTTTATCTGCTTAACTTTTATATGTATGTATGTATGCATACGGGTATCAGTTCCTTCTACTTTGTTTCTTTCATTATAAAAGACACTTAGTGAAATACTTGATGATGAGAATTCTATATATATTGTACTATAGATATACAATATTGAAATCAAACCATCAATCAGATTAAATGATTTCGCATTGAGTATTTTGTTTTGATAGTGATAATCATCATTGATTGATCATATTTTGAAGAGTTAGGTATTATGGTCAAGTTAGTTCAATATATTATATGGAATTAATCAATAGTGGATTTTCACAAAACTCTTAAAACCATTAGGTTGCTATTAAGTGATTACTTACTTACTTACTTACGCCTTGTTACTCCTCGTGAAGGAGCATAGGCCGCTCACCAGCATTCTTCATCCAACCCTGTCTTGGGCAATCCTTTCTAGCTCCGTCCAGTTGTAATTTATTGTTTTCATATCTGTTTCTATTATCCGACGTAATGTGTTCTTTGGCCTTCCACTTTTTCGCCTCAGTGATATACTTATGTATATTGATTTTTTTCTCTTTTCTCTTTTTGTTTTGTTAAAAGAAACTTATATTTTTTTATATTTCTCTTTCATTTATTCAATTTTAAATAGATTAATGAACATTATACAAATAAATTTTGTTCAATTCTAGAAGAATCAATCAAAGAATTAAAATATTATGCTGAATTAGTTCCAGGTTTTATGAATTTATCTCTAAATGATCGTGATATAATGTTAAATTTACATTATTTAGATTTATTAAGTTTTCGTTTAGCTTGGAGGTAAGTTCATTTGATTTTTTTTATTCATTTATAATAATGATTTTTTTCATTTATAATAATCATAATAGTAATGGTATTATCAGAAAGGATTTTGTGTAGAGTTTGAAAATTTCACTGATTGAAATTATCAGTCAATTGAAGCTAGACCATCATGGAAAACCTGAAATCATTGGACGACTGTCTTGTTCTACTACGGGACTCTTCAGAATTGCGGGGGAGGGCGGGATTGTGGATACGCACTGCTGAAGACTCGCATACTAGGACGAGACGGCAGTCCATTAATGGTATTATAGTGAATGAGAACATACAAATGGGGACAATCGGATGTAATCGAATACAAAATGACAGAATTACTTAGTAACATCTGAGAACTATACAGGAAATACTCCATTCACATAATGTTATAGCAACTCACATGAAATTGAGTTTGTTCTCATTTAACTCGATTAAGCCTTTTTCTTAACTTATTTAGCGGACAAAGTAATCCGTACTATAACAACTTATTGTACCTTAGATGATCCATTATTTCCCTATATATATACATAAATATTTACACACTACACTCTCGGTTCACTGACTCATTCATTTGCCTCTCTGCTTGGTGATCTAAGTTATCTGCTAATAAAACTGTAGTCGCTGCTTCTTTTTGCCTTCTGATTTCAAACACCGTTGAGGGTTATATGATAACGGTTACGAGGACGATTGGTCAACGAAGCACAGCCACTATAATGTCAATCAATTGTCTCAAACTTCATTGTCCCTTCATTTTCACATCAATCGTTCTTTGTTCTTATTCTCTTTTCTTTGATCTTCATAGCCTTTTGCCTTCAGGCAATCCACTTTCGATTGATGATACATACTACCTATATATATTGACATCAGTAGCACACACCACAGAATCATTCAATATTACATTTTTAGTACAATACGAAATATATTTTATACATTACTTTAACAAATTCAATTAGTATTGTTTTGCTTGTATCTTCTCATCTCTGTTCAGCACTGTAATTAATCAGTCTTTTGTTAACATATGTGCATCCTGTGCAGATTGCCTAGATATTGTCTTAAGTCATAAGCTTTATAGAGCGATGGTAGAAAGTGGCTAGCAGTGGAATACAGGATGGGTGTTTCGTCCTATTTAGGACTCGTCAGCTGGATGTGCTTGTATCACAGAATTGATGTCCACTCCAATTGACGAGGCTTAAATAGGACGAAACGCGCATCCTGGATTCATTGCTAACCTCAGTCCATCGTTACCATTTCTACAAGTTCTACTTAATTTTTGTCTAAGTTTATATGTATATGTATAGTGATTAAACATAACTAAATAAAAGGAAAAGAAACTTTAATTAGAGTATAAAATTCTTAACCATAGTCAATAACTTCGATACTGAAGTGGAGTTCATTTTGGTTATGACAGCCATCTGTTCCCATGCATACCTGAATCTTGCTCCGATATAAGATATACTATACAGGAAAGAAGATTTAGATGTAGTGAATCATTCGTGACTGATAAAAGAACAGTTATTAGTTGTTTGGAAGATTTCAAATGCTTATCTCTGATCATTTTAATAATAACCACAAAAGAGTGTAATGCTCACCGTCATATACTGTTCACTGTTCATATAAGGTTAGAACAACATGCCTAAAACATGCAAAGCTATTAGAATTAAGTAGCGAAACGTCAGTAAAAATAGTTTTATCGCTTTTATCATTCATCCTAAAATATAGATTCCTAACAATAATGAAAAGCACACACACACATAGTCATCAAGCTTATCAATGATAAGACTAGTTTATTTATTTCATTTGAACATAAATATTGGTAAAAAAAAGAGGCAGCGAATAGGTATGCGCCACACAAGTCACCTGATTTGAGTGCTGGCTGTGATGCTGCCAGCATACCCGAACCGAACATGGTGGTCTTTTTAGCTGACCACACCCTGAGCCTTTGATATAAAGGTTTGATCCACAAGGAAGTGGAGTAACATCAGGAGATGTAGTCCCATGGCAACCGGTAGCCAATGGTTGGTTCATATATCATATATTGCCTCAGGATTCTGGAGCTCATGTGCACCATTGGTTTGGAATCAGGATTTTCCAACTTCCCCAGGTGAATCCTCTGTGTCTACCAACCCGATTAAAGAGTCGGACATTCGCTTTTCGTCCTTTCAATTTCGTAAACATCAATAATGCCACAAGAAGGCAGTGATTAGGACTTCCCTGACAGTGGATGTATACACGTGGCCATGTGAGAGCATTTGGAGAAAGAGAGCTGACTCTCTCCATTCTCGGCCGTACCGGAGCAATGGCTTGATTTGCTTTTTTCCGAACTTATTACATTTATTACAAAAACCATTTTCATATCTGCTGTGTGGGCGACAATAATAATGATTGGTTGTATGCTTAGTTTAACATGCAAATAGTCTGACAAGTGTCAGATGAGTTATATATTCCCCTTTCCTTATAATTATTATCATTGGTTGTTCATTGTTGTTGGATTGTGTCGGGTTTTTGGTGTAGAAATATATTTACGTTCTAGTCAGGCTAATCATATGTTCTTAATCTGAGTTATATTGAAGTCCTGTAGAATAGATACTAGAAGGGAATCTAGCGTAGATATTCGTCTAAGGTAAATTAACGTCGCATACGTGTAAACGTGGAAAACCAACTGTTATAAAAATATCAGAGATTAATTCAAAGTAGATAGTTATTTGTCGAATCTAAATGATACAAAAAGATGATCTGCTTTGAATCTTATTCAAAGGTAAAACAAATAAAACTTAACTGACTGAATAACTGCTCATATATTATATTGGATTGTTAATGATTGTAAAGAATGTTTTCCGTTTCATAGATTTTACAAATCGGTACCCTCATATCTATCTATCTATCTATCTATCTATCTATGATCATATTTAATAACGTTTAAAATTCTTATTCAATGAGTATTATAAGATCATGGATTTCTGATCCCATGATAAAGACTTAATAAACAGTCGGTTAATTGAAAATTAAATTATTAGACGACTTTGTAGCTGAAATGGTAAGTTGTGCTCTAAAAGGTTTAATCTATACCTATTTATAGTCTGAATGAATTGTCTGGATAATTATTGTAATGTCAAAAGAATCAACATAAATCATTCTATATCAGAAGCAGTTTTATGGATATTATTAGTAATTTTAATAGTTAAGATCATGCCATTTCAAGCTAGACTACCATAGAAAACCTGAAAGTACTGAACAGCTGTTTCATCCTATTGTGGGGCTCCTCAGCAGTGCGTATCCACGATCCCACCTTGCTAGTTTCCAATACAGGACCTATCGGTCTCGCGCGCGAACACTTAGCCGGTTAGTTCTTATTGTTACATCAAGTTTATTCTATATATATATATATATATATATATATATATATATATATATATATATATGTAAACTGTCTAGTCTTGTTATGGGACGTTGCATAATATTAGAATATATACATATATCTTAATAGTTAAGATCATGAGTCAAATGAAGTTGGACTACTGTAGAAAACCTTGAAGCACTTGATGGCCGTTTCTTCCTATTGTGGGATTCATCATCGACTCATGATCTGAACTATGAAAATTACTATAATTTTCACAAAACCCCTTCTAATCTATCTATATCTATATACTTTTTGAGTCGGCAATATGCATATCATGTTCTAATTATAAGTATTTACAATCAGATTTTACTGAATTAATCAGTTGACATCATATACTTAATCAATAATAAATGATACATTAGTTAATTATATATATGAGAGACCTACACAAATAATACACCAAAAGTCGGATAAAATGAAAAAAAAAAGGAAAAGAGAAGGAGAAACGAATTCGAAGTGCCAAGTTATTCCTTTCTTTGACAAGTTACAAGCAAACAACTAAACACAGGTAGATAGAGAGGATATATCCATCCACCTATCTATCTATATACCATAGAAAGAATACTAAATATAATATCCTAACATGTATACCAGTAGATGCTTATGTTTGCTCTTTTTTTCCCTCTGTTGTTTTCTTTTTTTTTTGCATTTACTAAAACATAAAAATGAGCTTGTCAAATAGCCGCTTATATACAATAACACATATGATTAGTTGGTTGTCTACCACCTTAGTTATATACATATTTACGTAAATATTTGGTTACATTTTGTTTTTAGATTCGTTCTTTTTTCTTCCCCCTCTCCCTCTTCTTCTTCTTCTTATTCTTCTTCTATGGATTGGTAACAATAACAAAACTGATAATAATCATTATTATTATTATTATTATTATTATTATTATGATAAAGATTAATGTTCACTAAAATTCATTATCTATTTTTACATTGGTTACTTAAACTTATTTGCTTTTTATTGTTCACCTATAAGCCTATTTATTTATTCAACTAAATAGTTATGCATAAGACAAGAAAGAAAAAGTGAAAAAAAGAAACAAAATAAAAGAAGGTATGATAAACTATTGCCTAAGTATACAATGAAGTTAGTTAACACTCAATTTATTCATTACTAACTATTCGTTTATTTTCTCTGATTTGCTTTGTTTTTTTTCTTCTTCTTCTTCTTTTTTTCCTCCTTTTTCTTCTATGCATTTCTTTTAGTTAAGCATAATATATGTAGCCATAGTCATATATCTATATATACAACTATGAACATTCATTTAATTCAATCTTTTTTTTAATATTTTTTTCTCTTCGTTTTTCTTTTTCTTTTTCATTTTTCACTGCATTTAATGTTCTTTTTTTTTCAAAAAAAAAGAAAAGAAAAGAAAGAAGAATATTCATAAGTGAATATCTATCTAGTTTTTGACAGTTGACTAATGGCCAAATTTTTCTCTGTAATATTACTTCTTTGACTTATAAGTGTGTGTGCGTGTGTGCGTATGAATGTGTGTGTGTTTATGCAAGAGAGAGTGTGTGTGAGAGAGAGAGAGCCATGACTATTATTCTCCCAATTCTATTTTTCATTTAGTTA